CTCAAAGCTATTATTATATCCACTATAAAACATATCATTATAGAAATACTATATACCAATCTCAGATAAGTGCCTGGACCAATCTTGGGTTTCATTTTTAGTTCTATGACAAGAAGCACAACGTTGAGTCCTCGGTTCCTCCTATTGCTTCATATAATACAAGACTGCAGTCCACAGAGACACATATATTACCGGAACATACATCAACTGCCTACGGAACTACATGCTGTTAAGAACGAAGGAAAGAGGTAAACAGCTGACACCACTTACAAGCAGTTGCGTGATGCGAGGTGAAGTGAAATCGGAAGAGAGAATGGCCAAACAACCCAGCAACAAAATCCCAACTCCTGTAGCACTGAGTCTGTGAATAGTGCTTACTTGCCCTAATTTTATAAAAATGAAATAAAAATCAGAAAATGGTAAACTACCTGATTATTTTTTATACTCATTAATTCTTAAAAGTAAGAAAAAATATATATATATTTAAATGGAAAGTATACCAGTTTCACTTTATTATTAGCCTAATTGAGGAATGGGATGAGAAGCACGGGGCTGAGGTCAGGTATGAAGGAAGAGGGTGAGAACTCGCGATGGTCAAGATCCCTTCCAAATTCTGGGCAGTCCTCCTCGGCCACTGCAGCCTAACTGCCGGTCACCAGCACTGAAGTCCAGGGCACTGACAGCGGACGCCCGTCCTCCATTTCTGTCCAGTGGCTCTTGGGTTACAGCGTGATGAGGTCCACCAGGTTGCCCTTCGGAGGCGTCATGCTGTCAGGAAAGAAATTTACTAAGGTGTCAAAGAGCTGAGTTCTTTGAGCATAGGTGTGATCCACGTCCGAGAAGCCTGGTGAAGGAAAGATACAAAGACACTCATTCATTGGGTTTTAAACTCAACACGTAACACGAGCGCCAGTTGCAAAAGCAGCAATGTATAACGCAAAACACAAAACCAGACCCGGCTTTAAACCCAGGTCGACATGGTTCTCCTACGTGGCAGGGCTGTGGTCTTGGGTAAGTTCATCAGCTTTCTGTAACTGTTTCTGCTGTCAACTGGTGATAATCCTGTTTACTTCATTAGGGGTATTGTGCAGATTAAGTGCACGGATGTGAAAGAACCTAGCCCAATGACTGGCACTTTAGTAACTAAAACTGATTTCTCTTTTCCTTACAAGCACTTTCCTCTTCTAGTCCACTGAGGAGACTTCACTCCTTTTCTGACTTTTTAATGCTTCTGACACACTACATTTCTTTTTGTAATAAAAATATAAAATCAAAATATAATAAAACCAAAATGAAAGGGGTCTTCAGAAAGTGGCCTAAATTTATTAAGGCCCTGAGAGCTGGAAGAAGTCTCAGAGAACTGAGTGGAAACAAGGATGGCTAAGGGAAAGAAATACATGTACAATATGTAGAATGGTACCTGGCACACAGTAAATACCATCCATTTATGGTGCCACGTACCAGGCTCGTGGCTAGGCACACGTGAAAAATAGAGCAATAAACTACTTCTGTCCGGATGAATATTAGAAAGTGAATGACAATCTTAAAAGGTGGGGGCCACTGAATTATAGGATTTCCCCCCTTTTAATGTCTAGGAGACATTTCATTTCAAGTTCACTCCAACTGAAGGAATATTCAGGGACAGGCCTTTCCTTTCAGTGGGTGTGCTCGCCCAGCTGCCTGAAATTTCTTATGCACATATAAAGTATGGCAATGATAAGCAAAGTGGCCTTTTGGTTTTCCCCATTCCCGAAATGGCTGAGACATGAGCACTACTGAGCGCCATCAGAAACAGCAACAGTGTCAGACAGAGCTGGCTATGCCGACACTCAGGGAACACTACTTCCAAGTGGACTGATTCTCATTCAATGAGAATACAGTTTTAGGTGCAATCTGTTTTTTAATCTTGTAAACAACGTGAATAGAACATAACATTTCCAAGGAGACCAGCTTCCTGGAAGGAAAATAAACAATGCCTGAAGAAAGGTACATTCCTTTTTATTTAAAAAAATTATTGTTTTAAGTTTGAGGGCAAATGTTTTCTCTTTTGAGTTGTGNCCAACCATAATTCTCAACTGCTTTGCAACATTCAACCAGCTAAAGAGTTAACACAACATCACTCAGGAAAGAATCAAATGACCCACAATTACCCAATGAATTTCATGTGGTGTTAGAATAATTATAGGGTAACTTCTTCATGTAATTACCATGAAACAATATAATTCAGAATAAAATCAGGAACATACTCCTTTTTGCATCCATGAAGCATCATTCTCAATCTCTTACTAAATGATTAAGTGCCTCAAACTAGTTTTTGTTTGCAGGTTAGATTTTAGAGCTCTGTTTTATGACATGAAACTGTTAATGTATCTCTAAATAGCACTTTTAAGGCAGATGTGAAGAGATCCAGCAAGGATAAGCTGGCAACTATTTATATTCAATATGCTCACTTCACTCAAGAATGCCATTGTTACAATCTTAAATCACTGAGCTCTAAACCCAACAAGCCTTTACATGATAAACCCATGAATTCAGTTTCTAATGTTCTCTGTGAGTTTTTACTTATTAGACATGGATAGGTCAGTTTTAGTATAAATGAAAACCAGATTTAAAAGGAGGCTCTTGCTAAAAGTTAATGCTGTCTGTCAGCTTTGGCACAGAGTTGGGCACTCTCCTCTGAATTCCTTTGAGTAAGGGACTGACATATCTGAATTAATGAAGTTGGCCACAGGAGGTCTCTGCAATCCACAAAATTAAAATGCATTTTAGAAGTGTCTTGCAAATCAGGTAATTTCTCAAGAAATAGAAGCACTATGAAAATAATGTTAGAGATTTAGTTTTCTTCAAATTTAAATAAACTATTTCAAGTTTATTATTCTGGAATAATATATTCCACAGAGAAAAAGAGAACTGGGAATGAAGCGGAAGCTAGCAATAATGAAACTGAGCACACTGTGCCCCCTAACTCCCTCATCAGCCAGGTGTTTCAATCTGAGACTCCCGAAACAAGAATGAAAGATTTTTTAAGTAGTAAAACATAGTTACTTGGCTATCTAAACAATGTATCTAAATACCAAATTATATTTAAATTATAATATACAGCTGGAATTCTTGGGAATACATGTAGCTCATTAAATATAAACA